TTAATATACCCTTGTGCACAAGTGCGCTCGGGTATAAAAATATAGCAAAGCATGTAGGGGTTCAATTCACACACTTTTTATCTAAGGAGAGTGCCTTTTTTAGTATTATTATTACCTTCCTTTTATTAGCTCGGGATGTAACTATGTAATATTGATGCGCCTAAAAGATGCAGCGATTTCTATTCTCAAGTTACATACCTAATGACAGTACGAATGGCAATTATAATAGGGAGGTTTTAGTTTTTTAAACTATAATTTTATTTTTTATATAGAAGAAAATGCCTAGCACCGTCAGCCAAAAAAAAAAAAATTATTAAAAATCAACGCGATTTCCTAGCGTCTTGAAATTTTCACATTTACATACTTCAATTTAATGGGTCATAAAACTAAATATCTATAAGTTTTCAAAAATTCAAAAAAAAAAAGTTTAAAATTTGTGGCTGTAATTGTTAGTTTGCTGAATTTTTATAATTTTTGTACGAAGTTTGAAATGTGGATCTATGTGTTTGTGGTTATGTAATGTGCTCGTCGTCAGTCGATTTGTCTACCTATCGTTTTGTATCACGTTAATTTTGATGAAAGATCATTAAACACTTGTTAAAATCTATTCAATTAAGAATTAGTTGCTTACATATTCAAATATTTCGTTGTTTCATTCCATATGTTTAACAAATGTAAATTTATTTATCTGTTTTTGTTTACAAATGCAACACAGATGATCGCTTTTCATGAGCTTGCCAGAAGTAAGGAAGAAAAGCGACGATATCTTACGAATTAATATTAGGAAAAATGGAAAAAGGGTTTTATTTGGCTTGAAAAAGTTTTCATTTGAATTGTAAAGGGTTTCATATGATTTGAAGAAGGTTTCCTTTGACTTCAAGAAGGTTGAATATGACCGGAAAAATGTTAAATTTACATTCAAATTTCAGCGGAACTATTTTAAACAAGGACCACACAAGTAGTAGAAGCAAAACCACAAAAACAACAAAAAATCACGTTGTTATTTTATTCTATATTTTTAAGAAGTGGCCACGTACTTACAAACAAATCACCTCACGCGTGTGACAAAGATCACATAAGTAGTTATTTGATATTAGATTCTGCATTCCACCTTTTTTTCGGACAGCTTTAATGTGATGAAAGTTCGAACCTCGAACCTAGTATCCGTTCAGTGTTCGGTCATTGCAAAACAGCTTGCATTTTCTGAGATTTTTCGTGGCCGGAAGATAAATAACACGGATTAGTGAATTCTTTGCCTGATTGGATGACATAATTGTCATCTTGGCTTATCATTTTTTCTCTCACTAATTATTTCACGTCTCCGTCAACTCGATCAATCGCTCATTCTCCTTATGAACCATGAGATATCTCAACGAAGCTTCGTATGTACATATGTACCTTAGGTTGCCCTTTAACGAAGGAAAGGCGATACTAAAACTGGGCGAAGTCGGACAATAACTACTCTTATCTCCCATATAATGGTATTTGCAAAAACTATGATACTTCCGCAAATACTAGATCCAATTTTTGAAAGTTGGAATGTGAAGTAGGCAATTATGAAATTTTTGAAAAATGGCAGTTGCACCACCCACTCATGATGAAATGCCCAATCTCAGTAGCCGCTTTACTAACCACCATAAAACTTATTACGAATATTGCTTAGGGTTTCACTAAGAAACTCGTTGAAAATTTTTGAAATCGGACATTAAGCAAGCCCACATCCCATATAGCGGTAAATTTCAAAATTTTCGTTTTTCCTGAAAAAAAAAAAAATCATAGACTGTGCTGTGTGATAATTTGCTTTTGTTAAAAATTGCCGCTCTAAAAATGTAACATTTGATATTCTTAGAGAAAGTAAAATGAAATATAAAAAACGGAGTTATTTTTTGTTTACTTTATACTCACAATCATGCAGATTTATAATTTTCACGGACAGTAATTTTTCTGCCATCGAAAATACAGTATAAGATAGCAAGTTATACACGCACATTTTTGTATTAATATTTAGACCACTAATAATTTCCAATAAAGAATGGAAATCAAACTGTTATAAAGACAGTCGTTTTCTGTCTATTAAAGAATAAATACTGTTTTAATTTAGAGACTCTGAATTTCAATTTTTTTTTTAATTTTAATTTAATTAATTTTTTTTCCGAAATTCCCATAAGCGGACATCTGTCATAGGCGGGCAAAAAGTAGGTATCCATCGGTGTCCGCTTATGGGAGATTTCACTGTATTTGACACAACTGTTATGCCGTTAAGTACTGCCTACCCTGCACTTTTAACCAAATAAAGGATTCATGTTTTTATCTACTGCACGACAGCGACAATGAAGGCGCATAATGAATTAAAAATAGCTAAAAGCACTCTCATCTTGTAACTCTCTAAATAAATGTGCGTACCACTCAAATAGGTGACTGAAGCTTTATGTTTCCTTTAAATCAATGTACATGAAACCATCATCTTGCTGTACATCTACATTGAAATAAATAATAATAATTGGATATTTGTGTAAATTCCACTTTTTCATCATCTCACATATATGTATGTATAGCTGTAGCTTTAAATCAGGGTTGTTGCGAATATTCGCATTCGCATTCGCAACCGCGGAACTTCCGCATCAATTTTAACATTCGCATTCGCAATAATCAATGCGGAGCTTTCGCGAATGCGAATATTGTGCAAGTGCACTGTTAAAACGTATATCTGGCAAACAAAAAATTTTAGCCAACATTTTTTGCCTGTGGAGATGCTACGTTAAGGCTGTCCCCCCTACCTACTATTATCTAACTCTTTGACTTTACATTGCGATGAAATGTTCAACGGCTGGCTATACGACTATTAAAAGATTACCTTTAATTAGTTAAGAATTATGTAACTATCGAATATTATTTGTCAAAGGTCTGTTGAAAAAACTAGATGTATCGCTAGTTTTTTGTTCTACTTTTTTTTAGAAAAGTATAATTTTTTATTTTTTTCTCATAAAACTTATTATTTATTCTTAAGTTCCGTGTTTTCTTTTATTAGTCTTTCAGCTTGAAAACAAAAACATTTATTTTAATTTTGTATAATTTGTCAAAATTAGCACTCATCGAAATAACGATAAAATGTAATAATAAAGTAAATAAGTTGACAGCCAAGTTCACAAATTAAATAAGAATTAATTCAAGGAGAATTTAACATCTATTAAGGAGTGGGACTTGGCATGTAATATATGTATCATTTGTATAGTATGGAAAGGGCTTAACTCACATCGTCGCTGAAATACAAAAAGCCGTTACTAACTAAAAATTCAAAATTAACTTTTTGATTGATTATGATGCATTTCATCGAATCAAAAGTTCCCATATCATTCTAGGTAATAAAAAAATTTAGTTAGTTGTGGTTTTTTGCATTTCAGCGCCCCAAAAAAAAATATATCAAAACACACTGAGCGCATGGAATGAAACAACAAAACGGATTTGATGGCTTATGGTACCGACAGCGATGAGTAATTAATTTTGACTGCCTGCAACTAGGAAAAGCCGAAACTAACTACAAGCTATTCATTGCAACCCTTTCGAAGAAGTCATCCGGGAACTAAGCAAATCTGAGACCTTTATCGTGCCTGATTCCATAATTCCAATCATTATAAAAAACGGGGTACCTTTTTAACGAAGTAACAAGATTTTAAACTAATTCTGCTGGCAGCCACGACTTTCAAAACAGATTTTTTTTTCGAAATTTCCATTCCTGGAAAATAACAATTTATTTGCCATATCCACCTATTTACAATCTCGCTACAAACGCACATTTTTCAAACCAGTCACAGAAAACAGTATTTAAAATTAATTACAAAAAACTAAAACCGAAAATCACTGATGACGTAACAGGTTCTCCAAATTCTGAAATAACCAAAAGAATTGGTTCTCCAAATTGCAACACAACGGTGTTTAAACAACGATCTTGCCATGATGCTAGATTGTGAAGAAGAGAGTCAGGAGGATACATCCGACATTTGCAGCCCCGATGCAATTCTCAAAAGGGAATCATTGCACCGCAATAAAAACAAAAAAGAAATATAACTGAAGGTCCTCTCAACTGGTGAAGCGTCAATCGAAAAGAATTTTTAATTTTGTTTTTCAAGTTTGTCACCTCGAGCGACCCGTTACGTAACAGGCTGTAACCCGAAAGGCAGAAAAATTACTCTTTCTTAAATACAATATTCCAATTTTCTAATGTAAGTACTAAATAAAAAAAAAAAAAAAACATTATTAAAAATTACCAACTTTTCCATTTTTTATTTACCTACTCACTAAAATTATTTCTTAAAAGTATTTGACGAGTACTTTAAATAACACTGTAGGAACGCTAAAATTACATAAAAAAAAAAAAAAGCTGAGACGGGTAAACTTAATTTGGTGGGATTCTAGAAATCGCTACCCTAAAATTTCCATTGCTAAAAATCTCTAAATGAATAACGCGTGTGCCTAATTTTTTTATTTTTTCCCCTGTTAAAAATTTGATTTTTTCATAAAAATTAAAATATCAAGCGTCCTGATCTTGGTAAACAGAATACACATGCGTTAGCTACGATTCAAAATTATATTTCCATGTTTCGCCATTTTTTTCTGCAATTTCAATACTTGAGATTTTTTCCTAAAATGTAATTTGTGTATCTTTTTAATTTAAATTTTAAACTTTTCTTAATAATTTTCTGAAATTGCAATTTTGTATGCCTCAAAACTCACCCTTGTGTGTGTGTGTGTGTGTGTCGTAAAACTTGCTGAGTGTCACTCGAATAGCGTCTGTTACACTTGAAATACGCAAACTTCACACAGTTTTATTTGTTTTTCCAACACTTGTGTTTCAAAGCGT